CAAATTATTGTTTCCCTCACGGTACTTATGTTCTCTATCGCTTATGTATAATATTTAGCCTTCGAGGAAGGTTCCCCGTAGAATTCAAACTGAATATTTTCAATTTTACTCTGTTGTAAATTATATTTAAATATAATTTTAGGCTTCTCTACTTTCATTCACACTACTCATAGAATCTCTTTTGATTTCTTTTCCTAAAGTTACTGAGATATTTCACTTCACTTCGTTTACTAAAGAATTTCTCTTAGAGTTAATATTTTTTAATAAATTAAATCTCTGTTATACATAGCTTGAATATCCATAATAGTCTCTTTGTATACTTATATATATATTATATACACATATTTTATATCTATTACATTACATTTCTATCTAAGATAGACGCTCAGATTATTATGATTCGAACATAACTACTCCTCGACCCAAACGAGGTGCCTAACCAACCCGGCCCTAATCTGTTTATTTCGCCCCTAAGATGAATCGAACATCTATCATGATATTAACAGTATCAAGCTCTACCATTGAGCTATAGAAGCTTTCAGAGAATATCCGATTCGAACGGATGTGATATTGGAGATATCAAATAAGACTCAAGCTTATCGCCTTAAACCACTCGACCAATTCTCTTTTAATTCTTTCAAGAATCGAACTTGAATTTCATTCTTATCAAAAATGCACTTTACCGTTAAGTTAAAGAATTTTGATGAGAGATAGGCGATTTGAACGCCTAACCTTCCGTGTGTAAAACGGTTGCTCTACCGTTGAGCTAATCTCCCAAATCCCCGGTGGTGACGCTAGTGCTGGCGGCGTTAACGCCGGTGTCTCCATTTCCAACTTGGATAGTTTTAATGGGAAGCCGATTACCTGGGGATAAATATTTTCACACTTTTCCTTATCAGCGCCTGGCGCCTGCGGATAAGATTTTAGTGTCCTCTAGGGCCGCAGATCATAGATCCATGACCGTAAAGCTATTTTTTTATTGTTATTACTATTGATCCTACCATAGCTAATAGTAATATAAACGCTGTGATAATTACTCATAGATTATAACTAGTATACATAATATTTCCTATATTAGAAATATTATTAATATCAATTAAATTACCATTTCAATCGTTACTACTTGCAAGATATAGATCATTATTTTTTCCACTAGTAGAAAAATATTCACTTAGTATATTTTTATTGTCTGTACTTGTACGTAAAGACATATTAGATAATACATTGTTTATATCTGTAAAAAAATTATTTAAAACTCCTGTACTATAAGGTAGTATTTGGAATACAGCATAGTTAAAAATTATTAAAATAATAACTCCTAAAGCAATACTATTTTGAGTATTATTTTGTAATTCACTAATTCTTATATTAATTAACATTAGTATAAATAAAAATAATATAGATACCGCCCCTACGTATATTATTAAATAGGATAGCCCTATAAAACTCAAACCTATCAATATTAAGTATGATGATACTCCTCCAAATAACCCTATTAAGAATAATATCGATACTATAGGGTTTTTACTAATAATTGTGTATATACCACATATGACAATAAAAATAGATAACACATCTAGTGCCTCTATACTGTATTTGTTACTCAAAATTTCATTAATAAAAAATAAATTAGTCAACTTATCTAGCTTTTTATTTTCTACCTAAAAGGAAAGATTCTTTGTATAGTAGAACCATTAGGACTAAATTATTAGACCTCTTTGTGCGTGTCCGCGTGCGCGTAGCGTGTCGTAGCTCATATATGATTTATAATTGGCAAGACCTATTTACGCTTAATATAAGTAATTAATATTACATATTCATATTAAATACGGAAGAAGAGTGAATCGAACACTCAAGTGCTTATACACAATATTTAGTAGATATCTTGCCTTACCAATGACTATTCTTCCTGATAAAATAACGAACTAGACCGGATTCGAACCGGTATCTTCTTCCGTGACAGGGAAGCACTTTACCAATTAAGCTACTAGATCTTAAAGTAAATACGAGAACATCGGGAATCGAACCCGAACCCTTAACGTGGAAGGTTATTGTTCTACCATTAAACTACATTCCCTTTTTTATTCACAACCAGTCGGAATCGAACCAACAATCTTCGTATGGTAAACGAAAAGTTTACCATTAACTTATGGTTGTTTAATATTATTTAAAGACTTATTAAGTATATAAATATAAATAACCTTACTAGTTCTATATTTTCCTTTATATTAGAGAATTAACTATAAAGTATTACTAGAAAACCTAAAGCTCTAGTTTAGTATAGCTAAAATAAACCGGAAAACACTCTAAAATATACATATTTTTTACAGAATATACATCAATAAATAAGATATTTTCAGTTTAAATATCATATCTGTATTTAATATTAGGATTTGCAGGATTTGAACCTACATTCGAATGATTAAAAGTCATGTGCATTACCGTTATGCTAAAATCCCTTAGATAGTATACTAACTACCTCAGTAATATATAGAAATATATAAAAATAATCACACTACATCCACAAAATGTCAGTATAAAATTCCACCTTCATACCCTACATGATGATGATCTGTTAGATGGTATGCGTATATTCTTCATAAACCAACTGCCAAGAAAATTGTTCCTATTATAACGTGGAATCCGTGGAAACCAGTACCAAAGTAGAAACATGATCCGAATACACCGTCAGTTATAGTGAAAGATGATACGTTATATTCTACAACTTGGAATAAAGTGAATACAATTGCTAAAATTACTGTAGCAATTGAACCGTATAAACTTCCTGCTCTATCTCCTTTTATTAAAGCATGGTGAGCATATGTAATAGTTGCACCACTTGATAATAATAATACTGTATTAAGTAATGGTAATTCAAAAGGATTTATAGGATCTATTCCCATAGGTGGTCATTGAGCACCCAATTCAACAGTTGGTGTTAACGCACTGTGGAAGAACGCTCAAAATATTGCTAAGAAAAATAATGCTTCTGATACTATAAATAGTATAATTCCAAGATTAATTCCTTTTTGAACTGCAAATGTATGATCTCCCAAGAATGTACCCTCTGTTATTATATCTCTAAATCATAATGACATAGAAGATACAACTAATGCAACAGATACGTATCATAAAATGTATGTATTATAAAAATTATGCATAGATAAGGCAGTAGTAAGTCCTAAAGTACCTAAACTTAAACTAGTGTATAAAGGTCAAGGTGAAGGAGATACTAAATGATAAGGATGGAATTGAAAATTACTTCTTATATTAGCTGTCATTTTTTTTTTATTTGTCTTTCTCTTTCGTACATAAAGAATTATGCAGGATATAGACCTGTCTAGGAAGAAAAGGACTCGAACCTTCGATAGCTATTAGCTATTGAGTTTACAGCTCAACCCGTCATACCTACAAACGGGACCTTCCTTTGACTATATGTCTTACACTTTAAATCAAAGCGGGTTTCCAATTATTTTATTTAAAATAATATCGAGACATATAATATTTTTGTTATAGTTAATAAATCCCGTGCAACTTCCACTACACGAACCGTATTTCGACTTAACACTGATTAGAGTCTCGCATACGGTGAATTACACTATAAAGATCTAATTATAATTATTATATTTTTATAGTAAAAAAGCAAACTTACTGCGTAGAACTCCTTTCAGCATGTGACGAGTGGTTAGTACCAATCCGAGGTTGTATTCACCGTGACATGGTGATTCACGATTACTAGCAATTACTTATTCATATAGTCGAGTTTCAGACTACAATCCTTCTATTTATATCCTATTTTTTGAGATTAGCTTAAATTCACATTTTCGCATCTCTTTGTTTAGGAGAACTGTGGCACGTTTATAGCCCACAATATTAGGGCCATGATGACTTGTCTTTGTCCCCTTTATTATTTCCGGTCTACAGAAAAAATGCTCTATTATAAAATTTATAAATAGAGATAGGGATTCCGTTAATTACATGGAAAACCACAGTTTCACAACATTAACTGAAAACAGCCGTGCAACACCTGTATCTTAATTTATAATTAAGCATTCAAATTGTGGTAAGGTTTTTCGTGGATTATCGAATTAAATAACATACTTCACTACTGGTGTCAGAAACGGTCTAGTGATTTCAGTTCCAGTGTTGCCACTTTACTCTTGAGGTGAAATGCTTACACTTTCATTTATAGACCAAAATAATTATCTAATCTATGGCATTCATCATTGTCTGCAAAGACTACTAGGGTATCTAATCCTGTTCGTTCTCTGTGCCTTCGTCCTTCAACGTCAGTTTTTACATAAAAGACTGCCTTCGCCTTTACCAGTCCCTAGAGTATCACAGAATTTCAACTCTCCACCTAAAAGTACTGTACTTCTTACATAAAACTCTAGCTAAATACTACTTTGTTTAAAGTCATTCTAGCCGTCTAGGTACCCTTTAAACCTACTTAAGATGAATAACACTCGTCTCTTACGTATTACCGCGACTGCTGGCACGTAATTAGTCAAGACTATTTATATATATTGTCATTATCAATATATAGACAAAACTATATTTAATAATCATCTATCGTTTCCCTAAGTTGCCAGTTCGGCCGTTAGGCCATTGACCAATATTCCTCACTGCTGTGCATATTTGCATTGGGGTTTTTTTCAGACCCAATGTGGTCGATCAACCTCTCAGTTACGACTAAGAAAATTAGCGGCTTGTTAAGCTATTACCTTAACAACTACCTTTTTCTGTGATATTTATCGTCCTCTCGAAGCAGTGATACACTATCACCTTTGTTATTATAAGGGATTTACCCTTACTTCAAGGTAGGCGAAAATATCTTATACTCACCCTTACACCACTATTAATTTAATTTTTAATTGTATTAATCGTACGATTAGCATGTGTCAAGCACTTAGACAGCGTTCAATCAGAGCTATCACCAAACTCATCTAAATTTAATGATATAATATCAATCATATCACTTATTAATATAGACATCTTGTTAAATCAACATCGCGTTCCAATTTTAATTACAATGCGGGTTCGTCCAATTATAATTAGTAACGGCTAGTTTCACTAGTGTTGAATAAATATCATGTCGGATAAAAAAAGCTTTTTTCTGCAAATTATTAATAAAAAAATTTGTTAGTCTAGGATTAATTGTTCGCCAATTATATTGTTTAACAACAAATTGTTAATATAATTAGAATAATTTCTGTGATATACCCTTATATTTATATAAATAAATTTTTAACTTATAACTTTCCTTTATCTATCCCGTACATACTTATTTTAGTAAATAAATAATTAGTGCATATCTAAACCATCTCTTATATAACTACTTGCTAAAACAACAAATACTTGAGCTTGAATAAAGGCAATACCAAATTCTAACCCAGAGAAAGCTACGATAAACGCTAATGGGATTAAACCTAAAATGAAGAATATAATACCTGAAGTCATTATATTATAAGTAAATCCTGCTAATATACTTAATAACATGTGACCTGAAAGTATGTTAGCGGCTAATCTAAGACCTAGAGAAACATTTCTAGCTAAGTATGAAATAAATTCAATAAATACTAGTAAAGGTACTAAACCTAAAGGAGTACCGGCAGGAACTAATAGAGAAAAGAATTTTAATCCATGTTTTTGGAATCCTAAAATAGTTGCACCTATCACTATAGTAAAACTAAGTGAGAAAGTTAAAACAAAATGACTTGTAGATGCAAAACTGTAAGGAACTAGACCTACTAAATTATTCATTAATATAAATATAAATAAAGTATACATAAAAGGGAAGTATAATTGACCTTGTTTTGCATTAATTTGACCTATAACTATACTTTGAATAGTCGCGTATAATGATTCTTGACTTATTGATCATTTATTTCCTATTAATTTATTATTATTTATACTTAATAAACTTACTATTAATATAAAGAATGTAGCTATTATTAAATATAATCCTATGTTTGTTAAAGATAATTGTAAGTTATTTAAAAAAGATAATTTTATATTAAAAAAATCTCTTATTTCAAATTGACTTAATGGGTTTGTAAAGTATGTAGAAATAATATTATTATTTGTCATAAATTGTAATTAAATTACTAGTTGTCAGCCTTAATATATTTGTTTTGTTTTTGATTAAATTATATTTTCTTCTTAAAATTCTTATAAATTTATGTAAACCATTTCCTTTTAGGGAAATAAAGTGTATGCGTAAGTTGAGGTTTAAGTTTATCCTATATTATTTATTTTTTTAATAAATAGACGAGAAATAAATAATCTTACTATTCTTGGTAATACATAATTAGATAATATATATAATATTCCTACTATTAACACGAAAGTAAAAAATACTTCGTTCATAAAATAAAAAGGTACTAATTGAGGCATATTTTTTTTTAGGTTTTTAATTTTAATACATAAAAATATTATTTTAAATTATGAAAAAATAACATCTTTTTAATTTTATTTTAGTTATATTATTAACCACTTTCTCTACTTATTTTAAGTAAAATAAGCAAAGTGACAAAGAGGTAAAGGATGGACTATACTTTATAGATTAAGTTATTAACATAATAGTGTAAACCATCTAATATTATAGAAGGGTATATACCTAATATTACAGTAAATGCAGTTAATATTAATAATATAGTAAATTCTCTTTTATTCACATCGAATATGTTTTCTTTTAAAAGTAATTGAGTAAAGAACCCACCAAAAGAAATTCTATTAAACATAAATATAGTATATGCTGCAGATAACACTATTGAAGAACAAGCTAGTACTCCTAATAATGGTAATCTTTCTAATACACCGTAAAGAGACATAAATTCACCTATGAAATTTAATGTTAAAGGTGCACCACAATTACCTAAACATAGTATAAAATATAATACCGAGAATAATGGCATTAATTGTGCTATACCTTTGTAGAAGTATATAATTCTTGTGTGTGATCTGTCATATAATACACCTCCTACACATATAAATAAACCACTAGATACAAATCCGTGAGCTAGACCTAATACTATTGCTCCTTCTATTCCTTGTATACTATTACTAAATGCACCTATTAAATATACTGCTGCATGAGAAACAGAACTATAAGCTATTAATTCTTTGATGTCAATAGTTCTTAATGTACTAAAACTAGCATATATTATACTTACTACTCCTATAGTATAAATTACAAAAGTATAATTTAAAGAAGCTTTGTTTAAAATAGGTAATATTAATTTAAATATACCATATAAACTTAATTTTAAAACTATAGCTGCTAATACTATACTTCCACCTAAAGGAGACTCAACATGAGCTTTCAATAGTCAATTATTTAAAAATATTACAGGAGTTTTTACGGCAAATGATATAAATATTCCAATAAATAAGAATATTTGAGTAAAATAATCAAAATTAGTTTTAAATAATACATCGTAGTCTACTGTTCCCATTA